TTTTTTTTCTCGGGCGACTTCACCGACACGCTGCCGGTGCTTTCGCTGTTCGGATCTGTCCTCTCTAGCGAAGCCTCCAGCGAACGAACAGGTGGAATCGAGTTGGGCAGAGAGGGAGTTGGGCCTGAGCTCATTGTTTTTTAATCTGAGATGAAAGGAAATTTATTGAGGAATTCACCCTTCATTTTTTTCAAGACCGAAGGGAAGTAGGTGGTTTTGTCAGCTTTGTTCGTACATATCAATTTATTATTACAACTCAAATAAATTAAGGGGGGACAGAAGTAGTTGCGGTGGGCCCGCTATTCAAACTAAAAAAGCCGAATATTTCATAAACAATTGCCAGTAATTCATTTTCTTGAATTATTTCATTTTGGGTAATTAATCCATAAACAAGCAAGCCCTAAGCTTCAACAATGATGGAACACAACCTAACTTGAATGTTGTCAGCCAAACCACTCAAAGAATGTTCAATAACAACAATAGGGGATACAATACAACTCCTAGAGGAAGAGATGGAGGAATACAAGATAGCTGCATTTCGACTTTCTCATTTCCCCTATCTTTTGTCAACTTCAACTCGTCCTTTATTTAACTGTTTTTTCCTTCCACTCCCTTGTCCTTCTTCTTAGCTCCATGATTTCCTACCTTCACCGTCACCTGTTTGCACGACCTCTGCGTAAACTGGTCCCCCTCGACCTCAACAACCAACTCTCAACAGGATACTTTATTTTCATGTGGTAGATCGTTAACACTGCCTAGAATGCATTCAAGCTCGTTCTCCCCAGGATGATATTGCAACGGGCAAGGTGATCTATCCTATGAGGACGCCTCCCCTCCATTAAAACCATACAATGTGGTGGTCCTTTCCTTCAACTCTACACCAAGATTCATTTGTCCAAAACAATCATAAAACACGACGTCAATCGAGCTTCCCGTGTCAATGAAAACTCGTTGTACAACATAGCCTGCTACCTCCGCTTTATTCACTAGACCATGATTATGAGGTATATGCAAGCCCTGGACCTCCTCATCCTCGAAACAAATCACCAACGACCTCCCTGCATGCTACCCTCATCTCTCCTCCTCTTAGACCCTCGTTCCTGTTGTTTTCTAGAACTATTTAAATCCTCATCCGTGCCCCCGCCCCCCCCCAAAATCATGTGAACTGCCCCTCTTTTCAGTGAGGTCCCATTCTTTATTGTTTTGATCATGAACCGCTGACCAATTGATTTTATTTTCATCCCTCGCGGTTCCATCGACTTAATAGTGATTGGATCTGAGTGTATCAGTTGTAGGACCAGGACCTACCGGCTGAACATGACCTCCCTCGGGATACTCGAAATTGTTTCTAAAATAGGGACCACCTGTGATTCCCACAGCAATCAGGATGAAGCATCGGGGTCATCGGAGTCGGAGACGATTCTAATTTTTTTTTTTTCTAAAAATCTCGCTCACCATGGATGGATCTCGTTGATGGCTTTGTTTGAGCGAAGTTTCCCATAGATGGTGCCAAATGATATGTAAAAGACCCTCTACTAGCTTGGTTCGACCTGATCTGTCCTCTTCGCCATTGGATGACCTTCGATACCTGCCAAAAACTCTACACCAGAGAGCTTTTTGATGAAGAGTCTTTGATGCTTAAGTTAGAGATGTGTAGAAGATGGTGAACAATATGTAAGTATGTAGAATATGCAATGTAATTATGGGCATACATTATATTGGAATGTGTTACCTTGTTGCCCAAGACTGTCCGGATATGCTACTAAGACTATCCAAACTACCCATTCGTACTGCCCAGACTGCCCGAGCTTCCCAATTTTATTAGGCTACATGGTCCTATTTAGGTGTGGATCTTATCTTAATAATATTTTCTCTTATCTTTTAGTCTTCTTTGTTAGACCGTCTAACCATGCAACCAATCCTGATTATTTCAAAGCGGAGTATTGCCGATACCAAGCTCGTATGTCCCACTTACCTAGTCGATCCCACGAACAGTCAAGTCTTCAAGTCGATCTTCGGCCGGTCCATCCTAGGGCTCTAGTTTGGCCTGTTGGTGCTCTTGGATTTATTACATCTTCCTCGACCTAACGCCGGTCTTCTGCTCGACCTACCAATTTACCTGGTTCGCTCTTACTGTTTCTCTGGTCTAGTCGACCCATTATGGTATCCGATATCAATAATAAAATAATATCAATAAATTATCCTTACACATAATATCAATTTTAATTCACTATTCACCAACTCACATAAGTTTAATTACCTATCACTTTCAATCAATTATCTCATACTTTTGCATCAAATCAACTTTAATCATTTTATTTTGAATATTATTTGAATATTAATTCAAAATTCCACTAAAAATTAACCATACTAACTTTTTCAAAATTAACATTACTTAATAAAAAAAAATCAAAACTTAATATATCTATTAATGAGAATCAACTTTTTGTTGTATGACATCCTTAGAAATTGAATATTTTTTCTTTTAATTTAATTTTCCAATTTCGTTCAAGCTTTTCTTTCTTTAATTTGAATTTTCCTATTTCGCTTTTCGGAAATAAAAAAGATCCCACCATATTCGTTTTCTTCATTTCTTTTGCGCATCGGCCCAGATTTCGTGATGCCCTGCGTGTTGCTAAAATTAATTACGACAGTAAATACATAGCCGTGTGTCGAGTTTTACCCGGACACGTGTACGAGGCGATTGATTCCATTGGACCTATGCTTTACGTACTCAAATTAATTACTGCCCTAGGATTTACTGTGCCAGCGGAAACGCGTTCGTCACCGCCTCCTCAAACTAGGTTGGTGAACCACAACATCACCACACAAATGGGACCCATCAATAACTTCAGTTTCGAATCGGAGGGTTCACATCCGTCTGTGAGACGTGGTCACCATGACAGGCCCGTGAGATAAGTGCCGCAGGTTATAAAATAATTAAAAAAACAATTATATATATAGCAATATTAGTTTAGTCTATACTGTAAATGCTGGAAGGAACAAAGGACTCTGTTTTCGATCTTTCCTTGGTTTTGAAATAAAATTCTTCTTTTACCTTCTCCGTGTTAGGATCTGATGAGAATGGGGTGTTTCTCCTGTCCTGGAGGATCATCCAGTGATGAGAAAGAAGAGAGGAAGCGATTGAATTGCAGTGATAAAAATCGAACAAAAATCAATGACCATGCAAAGACCCTGCCAGGTATATAAACAAGATCAAACGGTTTTAGATGATGTATCTTTGATTTTATGGGGTTCATGAATTTTTGCGAGTTCACCTGCTNTTGTACTACGAAGGGTTTGATTTGGTTTCGTTTGTGCCGTTTTTCTTGGGCTACTTTAATTTGTTGAATTCGTTTTACGATCTTTGACGAAAATTTGATGATTGTTTACGTTTTCTATAGAATGGGCCTGTGGTTATGTTTTTATATTCTCATGACATTTCTAGTATCAATGTTACATGTTTCGCTCTTTTTCTCTCTCGGTATATGATTGTTGAACTTGTGAATTATTATTCGTGATATTTGTGTTCGAGGATTTGTCTGTTATACATTTTTTGAAGGTCCTTGGAGTAAGTTTTTATTTTTCTAATGAGAACTTAAAATATCTTGAGGTGGTGTTATTTGAAGTCTAGTTTTTTCTCCGAGTTTGTGGATGATATTTTTTATTCCTTGTCTTTTCTCCTTGTTGTTGGAGTAGTCATTTGTGTTGCCACATTAACATTTGAATCTCCTTTTCTTTTATGCTATTTAGATACCGGTCCACCTAAACTCCCGAAGAAGGGCCCTGCAGTTGCGAACCAGTCCCCTACTCAAGCCGAAAAGAAACCAGAAGCCGAGACTAGTCCTTGTAATGGAGAAGCCAATGCCTCTAAGGCCCGGACATTCACCTTTGACACCTTAGTTTCCGCAACTCAGAATTTCAAGGCGGAGAATTTTCTGGGCGCCGGAGGCTTCGGAAAAGTTTATAAAGGTCGTCTAACGGATAGTGGTGAGGTCAGTCATATATCCGCTGAAAAACAAAACGTGATTGTGTTGATTCTGCACTTGTGGCTCGTGTTTCTTGATAAAACCTATCTGTTAAATCCTTTTTTCTGACCTGTGTGCAGATTGTGGCTGTGAAGCAGCTAGACAGGAATGGCTGTCAAGGGATTGGTGAATTTGTGGTTGAGGTTATGACATTGAGTTTGGCCAAACACTCAAATCTCGTCAAATTAATAGGTTATTGTGCTGAAGGAGATCAGAGATTGTTAGTGTACGAGTACATGCCGTTAGGTTCCTTGGAGGACCATTTACACGGTATTTTCATCTCCACTTCACAAAATAACTTGTTATAAGTTGAATTGTTCTTTTAATGTATTTTTTTTTCTCCTTTTGGGTTTAGGCACTCGACCGAATAGGAGTAAGCTGGATTGGAACACAAGGATGAAAATAGCAGCTGGGGCAGCACAGGGATTGGAGTATTTGCATGACAAGATGGCTAAGCCGATTATATACCGTGATTTGAAGTGTTCTAATATTTTGCTAGGAGAGGGATATCATCCTAAGCTGTCGGATTTTGGGCTGGCCAAGGTTGGGCCCACAGGGGATGAGACCCATGTCTCTACGAGGGTAATGGGCACATATGGGTATTGTGCACCTGATTATGCAATGACTGGTCAACTCACCTTCAAATCAGATATTTATAGCTTTGGTGTCTTCCTTTTGGAGATAATCACGGGTAGGAGAGCTATTGACAACAGACGAAATGGTTCGGAGATAAACTTAGTTGCATGGGTAAGCATCTTACGCATTTTTTTCTTCTTTTTTTGTATACTTCGGTTATTAGTTGTGGACGGCAATTTTTTGCTTTTGTTCGAATTAAAAGTTTTCATTTTCTGTTTTGTTTTAAGTAATGCATTCCTATGAAGTAAAGTGGTGTTGTTTCTTCATAATGCCTTTTATGCTAAATTGTAAGCACCAGGTACTGATAAGATTTTAGCAGAGAGCAGACTGAATTTCTTGAAAGATCCATGTGCGGCTTGATGAACTTTTTTTCCCTTTTGGCTTTTAAACGAGGCCATTCAAAATGGCTCCACTGATGTATCCATCTACAGTTAATGTGATGGTGGGGCCATATGAAATGTCCAATGTTTATTTATTTGCAATATTCCCTCGCACATAGAGACCCTTTATTCTCTGATCTTTTCCTTGGAGTCTTCCCTTTTATACCCGAATGTGTTTAACAGCGATTGCTCCCTTTTTCTGCTCAAACGTGCTTCAAAAAAATGCCTGACAATGTTTTTTTTTTTTTTGTAAGTATTACTCGTGCTTATTGCAACAATTGTACTCGCTCTAGCTTTTGATCACGTAAGTATTGGAGTTGCTCTAATGAGACATAGTCAGGCAGCAGAAGACACAACACTTTGTCTGTTTGTGTTGTTGTGATTTAATTGTGTGTTATATATTTTGGTTTGGATTTACCTTAATTTTTGTGTAGTAACGAAAATAAGCACACTTACTTGCAGGCCAAGCCATTGTTCAAGGACCGGAAAAGGTTCCACCTAATGGCGGACCCTGCTCTTGAGGGCCGTTATCCCGTGAGAGGGCTTTACCAAGCGCTGGCAGTTGCTGCCATGTGTGTTCAAGAGCAGCCCAACATGCGGCCCCTCATAGCTGATGTTGTTACAGCTTTGAATTTTCTTGCTTCCCAAAAATACGACCCAAATGTCGACCCAATTCAATGCCCTTTAAACTCCACTCCTAATTCGGTTACATCTAAAAGGGCGGCCAAGAATACTGAGAGAGCCGACTAGTGGCGCAACATCTCGTTTTTACTATATGTGAATAAGAAGCCGAGATTTGCTGCCATTTTTCGTGCTTTAGAATTATTTTTATTTTTACTTTTTAATTTTTATATAGGATCTTAGGGTAATGGTTAAAATAATGTGACTGGTTTCTGTGAGACTGTTGCTTTTTTGTTAGATTTTAGGAAATGGTTGATGGTCGTTTTCCGTTCTGTGAGCGGGTGGTTGCACCAAAGGGCCGAATCAGATGATTTTATTGCGTTTTTGAATGGGTTGATTTTCTGTTTCTGCTCATGATTTAGACAGTGAGTGTGGCTTATTCTGTTTGTCGGTGCAGTTGTGTTGTTACATTCTTTATTAGAATTATCAATTATCAATAAAGAGAATACCGACTCACACATACACATGATATTTGGTCAAACTAAATCCAGCTAAACCTAACTTATTTTGACTTATTTAGATAAAGCTGATGGCATTTTGGTATTTGATATGTATATTTGGATTTGGATAAATGAAGTTTACCCTCCCAATTAATGGAACTTCCACTTTCATCAGATGCTATAAGGGGTGAGCACCTGTGTGCGATTCCGTGCCAAACCGAAAAAGTTAAAAAGTTCAGACTGAACTGTACCGAATATGGAGAACAAACCGAATCGAAATCGACCGACATTTTTTGGTTTCAATAGTAAATATCTGAGGGTGAGAATTTGAAACTACCGAATATGGAGAACAAACCGAATCGAAATCGACCGACATTTTTTGGTTTCAATCGCAAATATCTAAGGGTGAGAATTTGAAACTACGGCATAGAACAATTAAGTTTTTCAAGTTTAACTTTCATTCTAATGTTGTTAATTGTTATTAGCCAAAAAGAATATATTAAAAGTGTGGTGTGCGTGTGGAACTATATATTTATACCTATAATACAACTTTATTTGGCACTTTAAGCTATATCCAGTGCAGTTAGGTAAAAATCGCACACTTCGAACATAAAACCGAACCACAACGAATTTTTGCGGTTTTTTAAAATTCTAACCGCACCCGGAAACCAAACTCTTCAGAAACCGAATGGAACCGCATCGAATACATAGGTTCGGTTCAATTATTTAATTTGGGCTCGGTTTTTCGCATCCGTAGATGCAATTGTTCGGAGTAGATGGCAAAATAATTGAATGAAATTGAATAAAGATTTTTCAACATAATTTTTATTTTTTTATACATAATATAAATGAAAACTATTTAATTAATTGATTTATCACAAAATAATGAGTAAGCTATATTAATGTTGTGTTGTATTTACCATAATTTTTTTTTTTTTAATATTGTTTTTCCGTGTACTAGCGCTAATAATATCATGCAATACAAGTAAATATAGCTCATTTATTAATCACCAGGGGTAATTTTTATTAGTTTATTTTGTGTAGATATATTAAATTAATTAATTTATGTGAATAAGTTAATAAATGTTTGAAAACAATTAATATCTATGGTAACTTCATAACATTTAATTTCATTAATAACCTTATAAATTGTCTATAGTCTAGGGTACTTTGGCAATGCATCTATATATATATAAAGAGGAGCAACATAGCATTTAATTATATTATCATGCATTAAATTTTACTATCCCTCCAAAATTTTCAATATTCAATTTCATTTTTAAGTTACAAAATAACTTGCTTGAATGCCATAAATTATGAGCATAAACCAATCAAGGGAGTTACAAAATTGTACTCAAATTTTAAGTCACACCGACTCATGAAAATGGCCGGATGTATTAGCAATTAGCATAAAGAAAATGGTTGTAACGACTCTTCCACAACAGTTACTTGATCAAAATCAATTTTGAGAATTATTTTCTTAATTCATATTTTTTCATGAATTAAATTATGATTTTTTTTTATTGTTATCTTTTCAAAGTATTCTTCTCTGTGCAAATGCACAGGTTGATTACTATTATATATATAAAGAGGAGCAACATAACATTTAATTATATTATCATGCATTAAATTTTATTATCCCTCCAAAATTTTCAACATTCAATTTCATTTTTAAGTTACAAAATAACTTGCTTGAATGTCATAAATTATGAGCATAAATTAAGGGAATTACAAAATTGTACTCAAATTTTAAATCACACCCACTCATGAAAATGACCGGATATATCAGCATAAAGAAAATGGTTGCTTTTTATATTGTTATCTTTCTAAAGTATTCTTCTCTGTGCAAATGCACAGGTTGATTTTTTGTTCTTTTATAAAAAACAACTCACAATTTTCAAAAGAGTTATAGAATAGATTATAGATATGTAGATACATAAATTAACATTTTATACTATATAATTACACTAAAGGTATGTCCTAGTTTTGCAATTAATTCAACCTAATGCTCTTTAGTAGCGCACATACATTCGGTGAGTATTTAGTTATATACCAAGCATAAAGTTTAAATTATAAAAATATTTTATTATAGATTATGAAATCTTCTTTCTACACGACATTAGCCTAGCCTCATGACGTGTCCTCTCTGTATAACATTTTTATCTTTTTTGATTAATTATATTTTAATCACCCGGTCAACTAGTCATAGTCGAAATTTGGACTACATATTACACAACATACGAAACTCACACAGCGACGGATCAATAAATTAATAATAGACTGGACTAGAATTTTAAATACTCATTTTAATAAAAATCACATAATATTTTTTCTTCAAAAATATTCAATGAAGTTGTGTTCGATGAACTTTTAAGGAATAAAATTCATCAATACTAAAATATATACTTATTAGTAAACTCTTGTTCGATGAAGAGAATCAAACAATCTTCGAGAAAATCATCCACAATCTTGTTACAAAGTGTTGTCTACTTCATGGCTGAAATAACTCGTTCGATTGTAGCAGTGGAGACCGATAACATCAAAACTACATGGATCAATCTAGTTAACATAGCATATACTTTCGATCTATCACTCTCTGTTAATTTCTGGCATAATTCAATGAGCGTAGATGCCTGAAAAATCTTAAACACATTTTGCTTATAATGAATTAGTTCATATTCCAAAGTCACAATCTCCTGAGCTGTAAATCTTCCGGATAGAATTTTCTCGCGTGCTTGCAAATATCATCACTATTAAATGACTCAAACATATTTTTAGGATCCAAAGCCACAGTGAGAGAAAGAAGTTCGATAGAGATATCATTAAACCGTACGTTCAACTCCATCAAAATGAAATCAATCGTTTCATTAAAGATGTGAAAGTGGTAATGATGTTCAATTGTTGTATGTCTGCGAGAACGACCAACATTATAAAAGTCATTTAAGTCCGAAACATCAATATAATTCTTCGAGCAAAAAACTTTAACATCCTCAAAAAATGCCTCCCAACCAGATTCTCTCAAATTTTGAAGAATATTTTTTTGTGGTAGACACAAATGTGATAGCCGTCACTATATGCCTATTTATTTAAGCCTAATATAAGTTGAAATATGAATTTTTGAACTAATCATTTACACATTCTATACTCATGATCCACCGTTCAAAAATGAACTCGCAAATAAATAGACAAAAGTGCGAAATCAATAAAAGAAAATCTCCCATACCAAACCAGAAATGAGAAATCCCTCAAGATACTCTTAGTATAATTAAATTTTCATTATAAGTCTATTCAAACTAATATTCACTTCCCCAATAATTTCCACATTCACTTCAAAAATGATAATGATAAAAAAAATGGCAAAAGAAATGAAACTCAAACAAATATCATAAAATGTAGGTGCATCTAAGTGTATAAGCTAAACAAAATTTGAAGCAAATGCTAAATCTCAACACTTCCAATTGCTCAAAATCCAGAAAAAAAAAAAATTATATTAAGAATCGCATACAGTAATATTATGAATGCTTCAGGGCTCAAGCAATCAGGCTTCAAATTTCTCTTTTCCTTTCTAGAACAAGCACTCAATCATGGATGTCTCACACAATAATTCAACCTCATAAGCTATTTTTCTCCTTTCATAATACACAATCTAGCCATCTAGAGTTTGTAAAGTAAGACAATTTTTTTTTTTTTTTGTTGGTACCTTTTGAAACGGAAGGCCGAATTCGGCGGCCGATGAGTGAAGGCGAACGCAGTCTAATGTAAAAATTGCAAGTCTAACAATGGAGACTTGAGAGGGAGTCCGGAGGGAAGAACTGAAAAAAAGAACATATCTTTTAAGTCTTAATTGTTATGAGGATGAGGTAATAAACGAGCAGGGGCTTAGGACTTCGGAGGATTTAGGAAGTTAGTATATTTGGGCCTTGTTATTATATTTTTTTTATTGGGCTGGCTAGGATTGAAATAAAAAATAAATATATTTGGGCCTTGTTGTTTAAATGTTTTTATTGGCCTGGACTAAGTTAAAAAAAAATAACAAAGATAATAATATTAAAAAAAATTAAAAGGCCTGGGCTTCAGCCCACCCAAGCCTAATGTACATCCGTCCCTGCATACACTGTAGTAACACAAGTTACATCTAAAACTCATACGCCATAGTAGCACAACTTAAGGCGTATCCTTTAATGTGCATCCATCCCCGCATACACTATAGCAACACAACTTACATCTAAAACTCATACACTATAGTAGCACAACTTAAGACGTATCATCTAGGTTATGCATTTTAAGAATCAACTTCATAGATACCACTATTCATAATTATATTTAGCATATTAAGTTGAGAATTTTAAGCAACACATCCCTTCTTATATATTAATGTAGAATTTCTCGAGCTTATGTGTCAACTTCTGGTGCTTCATAATCTAATATGTTGAATTTTTGTACTTCGTAATCTTTTGTGTCAATTGATGGTGCTTTGAAGCAGTCCATCTAGATGTAGACTTCTACCCTTAGGACTTACTTAAATTACAAATATATTTTGAAGTTAATAATGTTTATGTTTGTTATCGATTTTTCATATATAATATATCCAATTACTTCGATTTGACATCCATATTTTATATATAAAATAATTAATGATATTCATATTTATAATAAAAACTAAGTTATCAGTTTATACTAATTAATAAATAATATAACTATTTATTAATTAAATAAATTTATCTATAAAATCATTTTATGATATGTATGAAACAAATAAGTAGTAGACGAAGGTCATTTCAAATAAAAATAATAATACTTTTTTTTTTAAAAAGTGTAATTTTACATAAAGACTATCTCTCTTTATAAACTTAAACATAAACTACATGATATTAGTTAGCAATATTATTTTAATATAAGAAGTAAGTCGTTCAAGTGGCGAGTATCATTTTAAATTAAAATGATGATATATTTTTTTTTACAGTCTTTAAAATTTTAATCAAAAACTTCACTCTATTTACAAACATACAAACTTATGTATAACTTT